GGGGGATGAGTCTATCCAAACGTCAAACAGAACCGGTCTCCAGTTACACAGAAAACGATAACACTGATTCTGAGAATTAGTCGCCAAGTTATCCAGCTCCCTTTCCAAGTTTCTCAAACCCTAAAAAAAGGCAGAACCCTGGACGGTGAAGCGGCCATGGATAGGGAGCTCGGTGACACAAGAGCTGAGCCCTCAAGTTAGGGAAGAAGGTACAAACGAGGATGAGAGCCATCCGTTCTTTTGGCCGTGACCCACATAGACACTGAATTTCTCCTCTGCGTTCGGGATATCGAGAGCCAGATCATCAAGGGCATCTTTCACCCGGGTGAATCCTTTGGTCATCTGGTTCGTCGTGATGAGGCCCTCGCTGAAGCTCTCCTGGAGAAGATCCAGCATCCGGTCATTCTTCTTCTCCATGGCCATGACAAGTGCCTTCTTGACCACCTCGTGGTTGAAGAACGGCAAACCCAGCTCGCGAATGCACTGGCAGGCCTCCGAGACTACGCCAGAACTCTCGTACTCTTCCAGAAGCTTCCATATCTTGTCCTTTGCATCTTCCACTGCCCACCCCGTGCCACCACCCCAGCATCGTAGAAGCCTCTCTCCCGCATGACGGGCAAAGATAAGCGACCGGGCCATCTTCACTGTCTCGGTTCCAGAGGAGTTGGGTCGTAATCTGCTAGAGATTTCTTCAAGGTTCAAGGGTGCTAAAACATCATCGATCACAGCTCTTGCCAAGAACAGAGCAAGTTCATTGGAAGCATCGAGAATGTCCAGAGCCGTGTCTTCCGCAGACTCCAGGAGCATGACAAAACCATTTACGATGTCTTCTGTTGAGAAAATCTCAATGTGAAGAGATGAGAGGAGAACAGATGCCATTTCCTTCTCACGGTTCTTCCTGTCCATGGCGAGTGTTATCAGCTTCTTGAGAAAAACCGGGTTGTACTCAGGTGCCTCTAAATCCTCAAGATTACGAACGAGTTCAGGAATGTCATCAGAGAGGAAATACTCATGAATCATGGTCACAACCTCTTCCTTGTAACGCTTCAGTTTCTCATTCTCAATCTGCACTTGCCCTTCTTCACCAGAGGGATCATTGAACGAAGCATCAAGCCAACCTTCGGAGACAGCATTTGACACAATCGAACCAAATAGGGTTTTGGCAGATGGAATGTCGAGAGCAAGATCGTCAAGGCTTTCTCCTAGCCTAGAAAACCCCTTCACCATTTGACTAGAACTTACCAGATTTTCTTTAGCTGCCTCCTTCAACAGCTTAAATATAAGTGGTTCAGCTGTAGGGATCTCCATGGCAGTAATCAAAGCCTTCTTCACAACTTCATGATGGAAAAAAGACACACCCAACTCTCTAATGCAGCGGCAAGCCTCGTAAGTGTCTTTATTGTCCACGTATTCCCTCAAAAGTTCAGCAATCTTTTTCTTGACTTCCTCAACAGTGGTCCGAGTTGAACCACCCCATCTCCTTTCCACCAGTTCCGCATGGTGTGGAGCAGACAGATAGCTTTTTCCCGCAGTTTGGATAACCTGGAAACCTTTGGAAGATTCTGGAAGTGTCTTTCTTGCCCTAGGAAGGAAAGCTGGTGGAAGGATGTCATCCACAACAGCACGTGCAAGGAACAGAGC